CTGAAAGAAAAGAATTTGTGGGACACAAATTGGAAAAAGGAAAAAAAATAAAAGACGAACAAAAAAAAAAAAAAAGAAAAAATGGCGTCCGTTATATCAAAAGAAAAAGAAAAAAGAACAAGGCTTAAGGAACAAAAGAATAGACTGATCTGCTCTCCCATATATATATATATATATATATATATATATATATATATATATACGAACGTATGTATGTGTGTGTAATTAACTGTTAATGGGAACGAAACGAATGGAAACATTTATAAAGAAAGGAGGATGGAAAAAAATAAAAAAATTGTGAGAGAATAAGAAATGACAAAGAAAGAAGACAGCGATAATCAGACGGCAGAATGAACAGACATCATAAAACAGAAAAAAATGTAGGGAAAGTATTCAATAATAATAAGTCCTGGGTATGATGATAAACTACATCAGGCAGCAAGTGTTCTGATCGGGAGACTGGAGCTTTTGAGGAGCGTAGCACGACCTCTTAATTGCTGTTGTTCCCAGGTCCACCCTGACCCGGGGTAGTAGCACCTGTTAGGGTTCCAGAAATGGGAAAATAGTGAACTCACAAAAAAAAAAGACGCTATGAAAGTATAAAAATATATTTTTATAGTAAAAATACTAGCAATATATTTTTACATAGAAAAAAATTACCAACAATATCAATTTATAGTAAAATGACCAACAATACATTTTATCTGCGTTTAAAATATATAGTTGAAGACATAAAATTGTATTCAAAATATTGAGATTTCGGCATTAAATAACAAAAAACAAATGAATAAATAATAAATCTATGTAGATGTTGATATGTCGTAAAATAAAATCAACCAGCAACCAATTCAATCACCTACTCTACATGGATGATCTCAAACTCTTTGCCAAAGACGACAATGAGTTGAAAGGCCTCCTCAATATTGTAAAATACTTCAGTGACGGCATAGGTATGGACTTCGGATTAGATAAATGTGCAAAAGTAACTTTCAAGAAAGGTAGAATTACAGAAACACCCTTAATAGATTTAGATTTTGTCACAAAGATTAGGGAACTGGAGCATGGTGAAGCTTATAAGTACCTAGGAATTAGCGAAGGAGATGGCATACAACACCCCCAAATGAAGGAAAAAATAAGAAAAGAATACTACAGGCGTGTGCGTCTGGTACTAAATACTGAGCTAAACTCAAAAAACAGGATATCAGCCATAAACACATTAGCTGTCCCTGTGGTGGAATACAGCTTTAATGTCCTTAACTGGACCATAGCTGAAATTAAGCGAATGGACGCCAAAACGAGAAAGCTTCTCACTTGCTATCGCATGCATCATCCCAAAGCTGATGTCGATCGTCTGTATGTGCCCAGATCCGAAGGAGGAAGAGGATTAGTTCAACTAGAACTGTCCTACAAAACTACAACAATTGGCCTCCAAAGATATTTGGAAACTACAGAAGACTGGATGATGGTATGCGTCAAGGAACATGAAAGTAGTAAGCGTCTTTACTCCGTAATGAAAGAAGCCAACAAATTCAAAATGGAGTTTCAAATGGGCGTAGAGATGCAACTACAGCACAATACACCGGCTGAAACTGCAAAATACCTAAAAAAGACAGCAAAGACAAATGCAACCGACCAGTTACAGAAGCGTTGGCAAGATAAACCGCTTCATGGCCAATACTCTGCCCGTACCAAACAAGCTGACGTAGACAAAACCCGTACCCATCAGTGGCTACGTAGTGCAGGGAAAGTGCGGAAACTAAAGGTTTTATCCTTGCTGCGCAGGACCAATGCTTGCTAACTAGGAATTATCAAGCACATATACTAAAACATTGTGTCAGCCCAAAATGCAGATTCTGTGATAAATATCCAGAAACGATTGATCATCTTGTATCAGGTTGCACGGTGTTGGCACCCATTGAATATAAAACCCGACATGACAGAGTGGGCCAATATCTGCACTGGAAAATCTGCAACTTCTACGGAAAGGAAACTGAAAGAAACTGGTATGAACACCACCCAGACCCGGTTACGGAGATAGGATCTGTTACAATTCTATGGGACTACACAATACACACTGACAGAACAATCAAGGCCAACCGGCCAGATATTGTTATTAAAGACCACAAACAAAAACGACGCCTCCTTATTGATATGGCAGTCCCTGCTGACTGCAATGTATCTTTGAAGATATTCAAAAAGTTGTCAAAATACAAGGACCTTGAAATCGAAATCTCAAAAATGTGGTATATGGGAACATCAACAATCCCTGTTGTAGTTGGAGCCCTAGGACTGGTTGGAAAAGATTGCAGTAGACTAATTGAAGGGATTCTTGGAAGTCCATGCCACAAGGAGATGCAAAAAATTGTTCTGTCAAGTACAGCCCACACCTTACGAAGGGCTTTATCTATGTAATTTAATTTTTTTTTTTTTTTGTCAGTGGAAAGTGTCATGACGCCATTTCTAACCTTAGGTCCCTGGGCGGGACCCGGAAAGAAATGTGTAAACGCCAGAAATCAAAGAAAATAAAAATAATAATAATAATAAAATATTAATAATAATAATAATAATAAAAACTAGAAAGACCTATGAAGATTTCATGGTTATCTTATTTGAATTTTCTGATGAATCCTAATTCTTAAGTTAATGAGTGAATAGCCGTTGTACGCTCTGAGCTTCTTCGAAATTTCAAAATATATCACCTGAAGAAGGCTGGGGAGTACAACGGCTGAAACGTCGTGAATATTGCAATAAAGATGAGGACAACAGCCCGAATGATGTAAATAGCGTAAATGATATCTCCATATTGGTTATTATTATTATTATTATTATTATTATTATCACACCCTTTCGTTCGATGTACTCATCAGGTCATTGTCCAGCCTCTGTTAATTCAAGCAACCTTCAGGAAATGTCGAACTCTTTCCTTTATTTAATCTACAAGAATAAATTTGTTCTCATTCTGAGAATATTTGATCTCGTTCTTATTTTGGTATTGCTCAGCTATTGTACGCCGCGTTTCCATTGTGTCTGAGCCTGTGTCACATGGCCAAAGGATTGGACACAGACTTTCTATGTCATCAAGCTCACAAGACATTGCTTTAATCCACTGCACTTATTGTTACATGGAAAGAAGGCAGGGACGCACAAAAGTACAAAAATCATTGTAATAGTAACAACAATGATAAGGATATTTGTCTGAATGTAAATAATGACATCTCCTCATCCCAGAAAGCCAAAACATTGTGATAATAACAACAAAGATGAGGACAATAGTCTGAATGTAAATAATTATAACTTCTCGTCCAAATATACAAACAGAAATTAATTAAAACAATATTTTGACTACTACTACTACTACTACTAATAATAATAATAATAATGATAACGGAAAAGAGTAAGAGGACAGTTACTTCCTGTCAACATCTCATAAATAATTGACTATTCCTTTTTGACCGCGTGAAAACACGAAAAATAACATATCACAGACGCAACTTGGTTTCAGTGAAAGACGAAAGAAAGAAAAAAGAGAGGAAGAGTGAGAAAGCAAAAGAGTCGACGTCCTGCCAACACCTCATAAATAATTAACTATTCCGTCTTGATCACGTGGAAACTCGGAAAAGACATATCAGAGACGCTATTTGATTAAGAAAGAAAGAAAGAAAGAAAGAAAGAAAGAAAGAAAGAAAATATAAGTGTTTATCGTCTGTTTCAGCGAAAATGGAAAATGCTGTCAATTTCAAATCTTTTGTACACCCTTACTTCTTGAAATAACGTTGTTATTGCAATATTTTGTTAAGGTTTTTAATCTCAAATGTTTAACGTTGCCTTAGGGGAATTTCTACGGATATTTCATTGTCGTAGAACTCGCCATGAGCTTATGCAATCATTAACTTAAGAATTAAGATTCCTCAGATTATTAAAATAGGAAAGCCATGAAATGTTCACGGGTCTTTCTAATTATTATTGTCATTATCATTTATAGTAGTAGTAATATTGCCACAAGCCAGATAATGTGATCGAAAATGGCCAAGAAAAGATCTTGTGTGATTTTTATATTCACACAGACCGTCTCCTTGAGTCTACCAAACCAGACAACACCATCGCTGATAAAGATGCAAGAAAGAGTATCTTTATCAAAGTGGCTATTCCTGGTAACCATCAGGATCAAAGAAATCGACCAACCTCCAGAATGAAGTTGACAGAATATGGGACGTTCAAGCCAATATTGACATTGTTATTGTTGAGGTGTTGTGATCTATACCATTAAAAAGTCCTACATTGTGAAAATAGGAATAACTCCAAGTACGCCATCTGCATTGCTTGGAATTGAAAATATTCTGCGAAAAGTCCCGTCTCAGGTCATACAACTTGATGTAGAACATCCATAACTCAAGATCTCCGGTTTAAAACGAAAACGGTGCGAATTAAGAAAATTTTTGGTTTGGTTTGTTTTACGACAAATCAACCTCAGTGGGTTATTTAATGCCGACAAAATTTTTATTTCTGGTAATATTTTTTCTTCAAAAAAGTATAGCTGGTAATATCTTCTTTTTTTTTTTTCAAAAATGTATTGCTGGTAATAATTTTTTTTTTTACAAAATATTTCTGGTATTATTAAAACCTATTTTTACATTTACATTTTTAACACCAGTTTGGCGGCTAACTATTTACCCATAGTTGGGACCCTAACAGGTGCTACCACCCCGGATCAGGGTGGACCTGGGAACATCAGCAATTACTCAAAACCTTCTGATCAATGCTGTTGGATGTAGTTTATCGTCCTAACCAGGACGAATAAAATTTTTTAATAATAATAATAATAATAATAATGTGATATTTACACTATTTGTATCATTCGGACTATTGTCCTCATCTTTATTGCCATATTCACGGCGTTTCAGCCGTTGTACGCTCCGGCCTTCTTCAGGTAATATACGTTGGAATTTCCAACCGAATACTTTATTTAGTCCACGGGGAGGGTGTGCGATTTTTCTAATTTC